AAGAATTTTTACGACAATTACCTGAAAGTAATGCAAATAAATCTCAATTCTGTGGTCTATTTAACGCATATATGTGTCGAGCATTTGGAGAAAACAAAGGGAAATGTTATCAACATCTCGAGTATCGCTGCCATGCGAGCCGTAAGTAGTGATAAATAATTATATAATATTTTATTAATAATTATAATTGTATTCATATAAAGTTCACAGGCTTTTCGCCATACAGTGTGGCAAAGGCTGCGATGGATATGTTCACCAAATGTATGGCCGCGGAGTTGGGACCCAAACGTATCCGCGTTAATGTCATCAAGTAATTCATATTTTCTTATTATGGAAAAAATTAATTAGTTTGTTATAAATATGTATTAAAAAGTAAATATATATAATAGCCCTGGTCCAATTCGTACTGAATTTATGGAGGCAATGAGTACACCTAAGGAGATGTCCGATAAGATTTTTGACGCCTACGGGAAGTTGACCATGGTAGGTCGCGTAGGGGAATCCAATGATGTGGGTGACTCCATTCTATATCTGGCCAGTGACCATGCTGCTTTTGTAACCGGCACTAATTTGATTGTGGACGGGGGTGTTCTTGCAGCCAATAACATCAATTCCGATGCTCTCAAGGATTTCATGTAAATCATGTTTATATACATTTCACTCAACATTGTGGATTGTTGAGTAATTTCTAATGTATCCTGTTGAAATTAATAAATCTGTTTGTATGAAAGATTTAATTTAATTAGCCGTATTTGACTAAAAATATATTTTCAAATGATTTGTAATGTAACTAATATTTTACAAAAATAATTAAATAAATAAATTTATTAACCTTATCATACTAAAATTAAACTTTTATTGTTAATTTTTAAATAACACTTTTTAAATACCTTAATAATTAATAAAATAAATAGATTCTGAAGATGTCATTTTTATATTATAATTTAAAATTTAACTTATAATAAAATTAAGATACAATCTAAATATATTAAACAATATTAATGTAATACAGAACTTTTACATTGTATATTTGATAAATTTTTAATGTTTTTTGTTTACTATAATACATATAAATAATAGTAACAAATATAAATAATATTATTGTTAATTACAACTTAATTGAATAGCATAATGGTATGACCTTGCCAAGCTCGGATATACTGGATTTAGTGCACTAATTGTTAGTGCACTAACTTTGCACTATAATTGAATAGCATAATTTATATGCCTCTTACTTTATTATTGTAATATACTGTATAATAATGGATAGTTTAAATAAATGCTAACCTTGGCAAGTACACAAATATTAAGTTGGTATATAAGCACAACCCTTAACTCAATAATGTTAATTGGAAATTGGTTGTCATACAAATCGTTTTAAACATTTTATATAAGATCATTAGTTCTTGTATTTGATTTGTTAAAACTTCGTCAACATGTCTCTCCAATACAACTTCAGCGGTAAAGTAGTGCTGATCACAGGCTCGAGTTCAGGTATCGGTGCCGCCACTGCCGTACAGTTCTCCAGAGCCGGTGCT